GCATTTCTCAACCTCCCATTTCACAGCTATACAGGTCTTGACCCTGTGATCCCAGAAATGGGCCAGCGGTCAGATTTACATATTACCCTCTTAAAATTATATAACTGAACTTCAAGGGACATTAATGTTGTATATACATTGACTATACTCCCAAGGGATAACCATTATATATCCATATACTGCTCACAAGACTGCCTGTCAGAACTTTCCTCCTTTACCAGCTAACTGCTCACCGAGGCTAAGGGCCTGGTCTGCTCTGCTCCAACATTAAGTGTTAAGGTTAGATTTCTGTTTTCTAGGAGAAGGCTAGCGCATCCTCCCCAATGCACTGCTCTGCAGGACTACAGATATATGTTTGTTAACTGTTTTTACATAACCTTCAGTACAGATCAATGCGCAGTCTTTAGCGTATACAAGACAAGTACTGCTAGCCCTGCCCCCTAGAACTGCCCCAAAAAAGGGAACAATTCCAAGGAACCCACAGAATGCTCACCTGTTGTGCATTGGAAAGCGATGGGATTTTGACAGGCAACAGAGCGACTCTTCCACCTTCACAGATCTGTCCATGTCTTCCACTACCCCACATCCAGGTCTGGCACCTGTCATAGAACCAACAAAGTACAGTTAGTTCATGTATCAACTACAGCACTAACCAACAAAATACTGTTCATCTATCAACTCAGTCCCCCCCCCCCCCCCCCCCCCCAAAAAAAAAATACCAACAAAATATTGTTTATATATCAACAATTAAATCATCAAAATATTGTTCATGATCAATTATAGAATCAAAGGAATATTGACAAAAACTATCATATCTGATTAATTTAAAACAATATTCTGTCTAAAAAATCTGATTTAACAGTTAGTGTCACCAATTAGTTATTTATAACCAGTGCATATCAAGTTTAAATGAAACTGTGCTTTGGTGTCAATGTACATGGGTATCTTTAATAGTGTACAAGCCTCCTGACACTGACAATTTAAAAAGGATCTTAACACAGTGCATACATTAAAAATATTAGCAAGGATTTAAAATTGTTTAAACCAAAGCCATATCTGCTTTTATAATATCATGTGGGTAAGTTTCACCTGAAATGTGGCTGTGTCTTATCCCCTCAATTACCAACTGCTCAGGGGCTAGAAACAGGCACACAATTTGCACTTGTCCCTTGAACATGCCACTTAGGCATCTTACATATTTAGGTTCAGGCTTTTATTTTCTGCAACTGAATGCAATGAGCCATAGGGTCACTTTTATGATAAAAATTTCATGAGACTGTTAATCCTTGGTTGAGCTGGTCAGAAAAATCTGGCTACTACTGTGGACATATTCATGGCATTGTGGTGCTGGGGTGTCTGTGGATTACCTACCTCCCCGGGCAGCAGCTAGAAATGCCCTGTACCAGTTCTAAAGGAAATATGGGTTGTGTTTCTGCCTTTCCCTTTAACACGTAGCTAAGGTGGGGCTCACAGTGTGCTCATTCCCCGCCACCAGATTGCCTGCAGGTTTCGCTGAGCTCTTCATGTCTCTAAGCATGGCCTAAGCATGAGTAGTTGGGGCAACTGGATCGTCACGTCCTGAGTCCCTGTGCCTTCACGATAATTTCCGGTATTCAGGGGGGTTAGCATACTTGTTTCCATTCCTAAGACTGTTCAGCACACCTCTGGCTCCTTCCCTCCCACAGGGGGCAGTACGGTGTGGTGCACCGGGTTTATTATCGAGGTTTGCTCCTCTAGATCCATTGTGTTTTGCCTGGGGATTCGCACCCCCAGTTACCGGGACTACCTCGGGGAGGCTGTGACTCTTCGCCACGCACAATGGTCTTGAGGTAAGAGAGGTTTTGCTAGGTCAAGAGGCTGACACCACAATGGACGCTCCTTTCGTGAACAGATATTCACTAGACCTAGGGTGAAGTAAGGGGGGGAACCCACTACCCACAACACCAACACTTCTTACCCCCTGCCTCTCGAGGCTCAGTCCCACTACTGTGGACAAACTGTTAGAATTTTTGTGTCCTAAGTAAGTACAACTAACTACATGTTGTAGGTTTATTTGATGGTACACACCTGCCACATGTCTGCCAGTCTTCGGGTTGTTGTGTTGCCCAAGACATGATCTGGCCATCCATGGTTAGGTCCCATTGTTTGTTGTCCTATGATCATCAGACAGTTACATAAGCCATTTTACTACTGTATCTATAAATGTGCACATGCACACACATGCATGTGCACATACACACACAGACGTACACAAACACTGGCTTACGTGAACACGTCAACCATGTCATTCAAACACTGAAGCAAACACCATCAGTTTGTGGACTGCCTTATATATAATGCTTATTTACTCGATGGTTTGATGTCTTTTGCTTTGTTGCTCATCTAGTGTCATCTCTTTCTGTTTTGTGTGCAGACACCATAGATAATGATACATATGTACATAATGCATACACACACCCACACACACATATATACAGACTGAGAGACAGACAAAGAAAACAAAGAGAAAAGAGAATGAGGTAGACAAGGTGAGAAAGAGAAAGACAGACAGGCAGAAGCCAAGGATGAGATGAAGACAGATTGAAAAAAAAAAGAGTATGCATGTGTGCATGCAAGAGACAGAGAATGGGACAGAGACGGAGACAGAGAATGGGACAGAGATGGAGACAGAGAATGGGACAGAGATGGAGACAGAGAATGGGACAGAGACGGAGACAGAGAATGGGACAGAGACGGAGACAGAGAGAATGGGACAGAGACGGAGACAGAGAATGGGACAGAGACGGAGACAGAGAAAATGGGACACAGAAGGAGACAGAGAATGGGACAGAGAATGGGACAGAGACGGTGACAGAGAATGGGACAGAGACGGAGACAGAGAGAATGGGACAGAGACGGAGACAGAGAGAATGGGACAGAGAATGGGACAGAGACGGAGACAGAGAATGGGACAGAGACGGAGACAGAGAATGGGACAGAGACGGAGACAGAGAATGGGACAGAGACGGAGACAGAGAATGGGACAGAGACGGAGACAGAGAATGGGACAGAGACGGAGACAGAGAGCATGAAAGAAAGGGAGACGGAGACTAGCACCATTTCTGCAAAACATGTAGTGGTCTCAAATAGGATCTTTTACTCAATTCTTTATGTCATGTTATGTTACATATATATAACAAATATCATCTAGCAGGTCCTTTGCAGAACGTCGCTCTTATCCCAGTCTGCCCGAAAGAAACTCGGTCTGGCGCCTGTTCTCCCGCCTCATGTACTCACATAGGGATGTGAGCCGTGGACTGTCTCTCAGTCCTTAAGAAAGAGAATAGGGGCTTTTGAGCTGAAATGCTATAGAAAGATTCTCAGAATATCTTGGACAAAGAAGAGGAGAAATACTGACATCTTGAAAGATCTGAACATCAAGGAAGATTGGCTAATAAACAGCATCCTGTCTCGGAAGCTGAAATATTTTGGTAAAATCAAGCGCCACGACGGATTGAAAAAAAATATAGCAGAAGGCATGGTACCAGGAAGGAGGGGCAGGGGCCGACCGACACGAAGATGGGCACAGGAAATAAGTGACTCCTTGAGTATAAAAGTACATGAGGCAGGAGAACTGGCGAGAGGCTGAGTTTCTTTCAGACAGACCGTGATGAGAGCGACGTTTTGCAAAGGACCTGCTACACAATGATGATGATGACCAGGGTCTTCTGACTGGTAATCTACCTCACAAACAACTCACCAGTTCTCCCGCCTCATAACAAATATACAATACAAAAATGATAGAAGGCACTGAACGTGTTAAAGGAAAGGCAGCCTGGGACACACAAAAACACAGAAGTACATACATATGCTTGTGCCTGGAGATCCGGGTCTATCTTCTCTTTGTTGAGCAGCTTGAAAGTTTGTGGGAAGGGAAGCCTGTACAGCAAGGCATCAGCAGATTTGATGGCACATGAGTAGATCAACAACCACTGCCACTCCTTGACAATATGCTCCAGGTCTGCAACAGTGACATGACAGGATGCAGCAGTCAGTTCTTCATGAGACAACAATGTGTGCTGCTGTTTTGGTTAGATCTATAGATCTATTAAAAACAAAAGAGGAACCAATTTTGATCTTGCTCAACCTGCCTTCTAGTGAGCTTCAGTTAAAACTGTGATGTTTGTGACATGCTCTTGGGTTTGTTTTCATCTCCTTGCTATTCTTGTCTTTTATGTAATCCGTTTGCTGATTTCTATTTTGTTCTGAGGGCTTTAGTCTGAATCAGGACTGTATCTAGGTATGATCCTTTTGCGATGTCTGTCTTTTGCTGTCTGTGCTGTCACCAAGTACTCTGGTCCTAAGAAGGATTAGTCCTCTGCTGCTGTATGGAGTGTAACTAATTATTACAGCAGGTAGGTCTGAAAAGCATGTAAGAAGTCTTGGAAGATGGGGAAGCTTTCTAGAAAGTGATTCAACTGTCTTCAGAGAGGCGATCAGCTGGGGAGATAGGGTAATAGTGTCTTAAGGTGGGGGTAATACTGTATCTGCAGGGAAGAGGGTGGTTCTCTTTCTAAAGATTTAGAGGAGATGAGACTATCTCTATAGAGGAGATGAGACTATCTCTGCTTGTGGATTGTCTCTGAATGGGTGAGGGGAGGCTGGGACAATCTGTGAGATGTGATGGGGTTTCTCTGGGTGGGTGGTTCAACTCTGATCACTGGTGAGGGGTCAGACAGTCTCTGAGGGCTGTGGAACTGTCCTCACGATGTGGTTGGTATGCTATTTCTAATGGGTAGGGACAGATTATTTTTCCTAGGGTCTGAGACTCTGCCCTAAAGAAGTTGGTAAATTCACACATCATTTGTTTTAAGCAAGTCTACATATGTGTGTATATAAATGCAAAGGTAAATGATATCAACAGAGCTGCATCTAGCTACAAACTAAAACACAATTCTCTGTAAGATGTCTACATGTACCTGTAGATGGTGTTCTGTGAGGCAAGGGTAGTGGGGAGAAACACAGAGCTGAATCCAGCTGTAAACTAACAGCCATGGATGTCAGGCACTGCAGATACTGGCTGTTCTGGAGCTGGTCTCCTGCTGTCACTTGGCTCTGTGACAAGGAAACAAACTGACCATTACTCCCATTATCTGGTAGTCCAACACAAGAATAACACTGATGGTAGTAACTGCTAAACTGGTTCACAGATACTATAGTATTTGAAGAAGAAAAAACCCATAGATATACAAAAGCTCATTTTTATTAGTTGACAGGAAAGCCCATACACCCAAAAACTATCACCAATCTATATGCAAAATAAATGTCCATTGATTAGTGAACTCTAAGACATTCTTGTGTGCAATTGCAACAATTTAATTAGTTGACAGGAAAGCCCATACACCCAAAAACTATCATCAATCTAAATGCAAAATAAATGTCCATTGATTAGTGAACTCTAAGGCATTCTTGTGTGCAATTGCAACAATTTAATTAGTTGAATTACACAGATTTTCAAATGTCAAAATTATGTTTTTTTTTAACAGCAGTTAGTGTTTTTTTTTTTTTTAAGTAGCAGAATTGTGTTATACTATCTGACTTCTTGTCAATTTTACTGTAGGTTAAAAAAACAAACACATAATATGGATATGTTATGCACAAAGTCTTTCTCAGTGAGACAAACCTTTGGAAACTAATGGGTATTGTGGATATGCAGCAATGTGTGGCAATGAAAGGGCAGTTTGGCTGGCTTATGGAGGACTTAAGTTAGGCCTTTCGCAAATGGAGATAGGCGAGGAGTGACCAGGGGAAGGGGAGGAGTGACCAAGGGAAGGGGAGGAGTGACCAGGGGAAGGCGAGGAGTGACCAGGGGAAGGCGAGGAGTGTCAGGGGAAGGGGAGGAGTGACCAGGGGAAGGGGAGGAGTGACCAGGGGAAGGCGAGGAGTGACCAGGGGAAGGCGAGGAGTGACCAGGGGAAGCGGAGGAGTGACCAGGGGAAGGCGAGGAGTGACCAGGGGAAGGGGAGGAGTGACCAGGGGAAGGTGAGGAGTGACCAGGGGATCTAGCTGACCTCAATCCTCAAGGGAAAGGTGAGACGGATATAAAATCAGACTGTTACTGGTGCCATCAGAATTGGAACTCTGCTCTTGCTGCTGAAGACGGGGACTGAGCGCTTATTGGAATGTCCTGAGTGTTGTGATGTCAATTCTACATTTATTCAAATAGAGGCAGCCTAAACAGTGCAATGTGAGTAGGGAAAGATTTCTGTGTACTGATACATCATGCAGCAAGACAGCAAAGTGGAGATGAAAAGAATATACAACACAAGGTGGAACTAGAGTTAAATGTCAATTGTTTTGACACATCATATGTGTCTCCAACCACAATGCACAGGGGCAGCCAGCATCCATACATTTTCCTATCTGCAGAAAGAAAGGGAACACTTATGCTTGTGAGTCAAGTGTAATGACATTGTTAATCCCGCCTTCGTGCTAACTGGCTGACAACTCTGACAGAAAGTTCTAGACTTAAGTCTTGCTCCAGAATCTGAGTTTTGCATGTACATCCATTTTACATATCTGGCTTATTTGTGTGCAGCCTACTGCTTCTTTGACTCTCAGGCAAATGCACTCCGACTTGGGACGGGAACTTCCCTAATCAGTTAACTCTTACACTATGCTTGTTGGGAGGCAGTGGATCTATTGTTCCCCCCCCCCCCTCCCACCCTACAATGGGGCCCTGCAACCCACACAGAAAGTCTGTTAATGAAAAAAATAAAAACATCGTGTGGGTTTACATTACCAGTGCCACTAGTGCATCTAAAAAGATGAATATCCTACCTCCCCCCAATGGCAGAATGACCTGTTTGTGTAGACAGAAGGAGAGCGTGTAACACAGAGCTCGACACTGACCTTCTCATGCTGATACTGTTCCAGCAACATGGAGGGAAGTCTCTGCAGAAGGCTACAGAAGCACTTTGCCTGACTCAGCCCCATGATGCCCTGCTGCTTCAGTGACTTGCGTGCCAGTGCCATTACTCGATTTGTGTGGTAGAGCTCAGTGTTGTAGTTCAGTATTACCACATCCTGAACATACGACAAAAATATATAATTTATACCTTCACTGTGTTATCATCATCTACATAACTGTTATCTTTAAAAATACTGGTCATATAAAGTCATAACTGTTACTACTAGTGCTGATCTGTGACAAACAAATTTAATGCCATCTATATGTTTGAAAGACAACCTCTCACAAACATCATATAGAGGTTAGTTAGAGCCATGATGTGGACAGGAAAAACAAACAGATGACAATGTGATTTTTTTTTTAAGTTTTGAAAAATTAGGTAATTTTAATGAATCCCTTACCTTACATCTGCTGAAGGAAGCATTAATCACGTACCTTACATCTGCTGTAGGAAGCAATAATCTCTTACCTTACATCTGCTGAAGGAAGCAATAATCCCTTACCTTATATCTGCTGTAGGAAGCAATAATCCCTTACCTTACATCTGCTGTAGGAAGCAATAATCCCTTACCTTACATCTGCTGAAGGAAGCAATAATCCCTTACCTTACATCTGCTGAAGGAAGCAATAATCCCTTACCTTATATCTGCTGAAGGAAGCAATAATCCCTTACCTTACATCTGCTGTAGGAAGCAATAATCCCTTACCTTACATCTGCTGTAGAAAGCATAAATCCCTTACATCTGCTGGTGGAAGCATTAATCCCTTACCTTACATCTGCTGTAGGAAGCATTAATCCCTTACCTTACATCTGCTGTAGGAAGCAATAATCCCTTACATCTGCTGGTGGAAGCATTAATCCCTTACCTTACATCTGCTGTAGGAAGCATTAATCCCTTACCTTACATCTGCTGTAGGAAGCATTAGTCCCCTACCTTACATCTGCTCTAGGAAGGATTAATCCCTTACCTTACATCTGCTGTAGGAAGCAATAATCCCTTACCTTACATCTGCTGTAGGAAGCATTAATCCCTTACCTTACATCTGCTGTAGGAAGCATTATTCCCTTACCTTACATCTGATGTAGGAAGCATTAATCCCTTACCTTACATCTGCTGAAGGAAGCATTAATCCCTTACCTTACATCTGCTGATGGAAGCAATAATCACGTACCTTACATCTGCTAAAGGAAGCAATAATCCCTTACCTTACTTCTTCTTAAGAAGCATTAATCCCTTACCTTACATCTGCTGTAGGAATCAATAATCCCTTACTTTACATCTGCTGTAGGAATCAATAATCCCTTACCTTACATCTGCTGTATGAAGAATTAATCCCTTACCTTACATCTACTGTAGGAAGCAATAATCCCTTACCTTACTTCTTCTTAAGAAGCATTAATCCCTTTCCTTACATCTACTGTAGGAAGCAATAATCCCTTACTTTACATCTGCTGAAGGAAAAAATAATCCCTTACCTTCTGATGGATGTATTAATCCCTTACCTTACATCTGCTGAAGGAAGCATTAATCCCTTACCTTACATCTGCTGAAGGAAGCATTAATCCCTTACCTTACATCTGCTGAAGGAAGCATTAATCCCTTACCTTACATCTGCTGTAGGAAGCATTAATCCCTTACCTTACATCTGCTGAAGGATGTATTTATCCCTTACCTTACATCTGCTGAAAGAAGCATTAATCCCTTACTTTACATCTGCTGAAGGAAGCATTAATCCCTTATCTTACATCTGCTGAAGGATGTATTTATCCTTTTCCTTACATCTGCTGAAGAAAGCATTAATCCCTCACCTTACATCTGCTGAAGGATGTATTTATCCCTTACCTTACATCTGCTGAAGGAAGCAATAATCCCTTACCTTACATTTGCTGAAGGAAGCAGCCAAGCTGCGGTCAGAAAACCACTCCAGAGATTTAATGACACCAGTTCCTGTGTACGTCTGAAGTAAACACTTGTCCTGCAGAAATTACATGAAACACCAATTACCTCCTCTGCCAAAAATATTTGTACTTATTTATAAATGATATACTGCACTACAAACTTTTTTTAAATAAGACTACACTAAAATGAAAAAATCTTATAATGAAATTAGCTCTACTTAGCAACCAGATCTGGGGGATTCGTGGCGATTATGGGAAAGCTGAGAAGTGATTTTATAGAAGAAAAATAGAGTATAGGGCAAGAGAGTTTGGCATGAGTTGGTAGAAAATAAGTACTATTTTTTGAGAGGCTGAGACAAAATCAACCTATCACCCACTGCAAAAACAGCCCCTAGGATGAGAAATACTGGAATTTATTACAAATAGAGATTTGTGGAAAGAAAGAAAACAATTAAACAAGAAAAGATTCCTGAGTCTTTTGTGATGACAAGGATGGTGTCAGCATATGTACTGATACATCATGCTGAGAGATAAGAACATATACATTCATGCTGCTGGAGAAGTATGTACACATTCAATCATACTGTTGAAGAAGTATGGACACATACATTCATGCTGCTGGAGAAGTATGTACACATACAATCATACTGTTGAAGAAGTATGGACACATACAATCATACTGTTGAAGAAGTATGGACACATACAATCATACAGCTGGAGAAGTATGGACACATACAAACATACAGCTGGAGAAGTATGCACATGTATAATCATACTACTGGAGAAGTATGGACAGATGTACACAAACAAAAAGTGCAGGAGACGTACGGACATATACAATCATATTGCAGGAGAAGCATGGACATATACAATCATACTGCTGGAGAAGTATGGACAGATGTACACAAACAAAAAGTGCAGGAGACGTACGGACATATACAATCATATTGCAGAAGAAGTATGGTACCTGTATTGACCAAATATTGAGCCACCCCTTGGCACAGCCACTGGCCAACATCAGCCCATCAGGACTGAATGCCAAGGCTGAGATTGGAGCAATGTGGCCACAGAGAGACACATCTGGCTTCTTCCTGGTGTTTCCTCTTGGCTGCTGGTGGTCGCTGACGTGAACCTCTGCAGCATTTGGCTGAGAACAGTGAAAATACTCATATATTTTAAACTGATAGAAAAGCTGTTCAATAAACAAAGTAAACAAAAAATTTAAAAAAAACACAATCAGACATAACCACAGTAACCAAAAATATCTGAATACTGGAAAAATACTATTCTTCAGCGCAGAGAGAGAGACCCCTAAAAATAACTATATTCACACCTGTATATAAATGTGAAAAAAATGAAAGATCAACAATTAGCACAGGTGAGCATATCATTTGACTTGGCACAGACATTTCTGAACTGATGTCTTTCTAGGCTGCAATACTAACATGAGTATTAAACTGAAGCATCCTTAAACAAGGTGAGTTAAGAACTGATATCACAGCACTGGAGACATTCCCATAAGCACTCTGCCCCCATTTTCAGCAGCCAGCACATGTTACAACGCTGACAGTACCAGTAGCATTTTGTTATGTACTTCAAGTTTTATTAGCGGACTCTTTGATACGGTCAGCAGTCCTAGCCCTTAATCCATCAAGAAGATTATTAAGTTTTGGTACATTATGAAAAATCTTCAGTGCCTTGAGCCTCTTTTGGCATTTTGCTGCAACTGTCTCCACATGGTCCTAGGTGGAAAGGCTTCTACTGAAGATGACAAGGTGATAAGCGTGATTTACTTACTTATAAATCCACATCACAGCTGATTTCTGTTGCTGACCTGAGCTCCCAGGTCAACCTAGCTTAAAATGGGTACTAGGAAATGTTTTGGAAAGGTATGGAAGCTGATCAGATGTTGACCTCATCACTGTGTGAGTGGTGACTGATCTATTTAAAAATGTTGGGTTGGCATCATTTGATCAATAGATCTAAAGGGGCAGAAACAGCTCTTTTACTTTACTGAGGCATCATGCTTCCACAACTCTAATGATACATCTTGTCTTTGTTGTTTACTTTACTGAGGCATCATGCTTCCACAACTCTAATGATACATCTTGTCTTTGTTGTTTACTTTACTGAGGCATCATGCTTCCACAACTCTAATGATACATCTTGTCTTTGTTGTTTACTTTACTGAGGCACCATGCTACCACAACTCTAATGATACATCTTGTCTTTGTTGTTTTCTTTACTGAGGCATCATGCTTCCACAACTCTAATGATACACCTTGTCTTTGTTGTTTACTTTACTGAGGCATCATGCTTCCACAACTCTAATGATACATCTTGTCTTTGTTGTTTACTTTACTGAGGCATCATGCTTCCACAACTCTAATGATACATCTTGTCTTTGTTGTTTACTCTACTGAGGCATCATGCTTCCACAACTCTAATGATACATCTTGTCTTTGGTGTTTACTTTACTGAGGCATCATGCTTCCACAACTCTAATGAGACACCTTGTCTTTGTTGTTTACTTTACTGAGGCATCATGCTTCCACAACTCTAATGATACATCTTGTCTTTGTTGTTTACTCTACTGAGGCATCATGCTTCCACAACTCTAATGAGACACCTTGTCTTTGTTGTTTACTTTACTGAGGCATCATGCTTCCACAACTCTAATGATACATCTTGTCTTTGGTGTTTACTTTACTGAGGCATCATGCTTCCACAACTCTAATGATACATCTTGTCTTTGTTGTTTACTTTACTGAGGCATCATGCTTCCACAACTCTAATGATACATCTTGTCTTTGTTGTTTACTCTACTGAGGCATCATGCTTCCACAACTCTAATGATACATCTTGTCTTTGGTGTTTACTTTACTGAGGCATCATGCTTCCACAACTCTAATGAGACACCTTGTCTTTGTTGTTTACTTTACTGAGGCATCATGCTTAGACAACTCTAATGATACATCTTGTCTTTGGTGTTTACTTTACTGAGGCATCATGCTTCCACAACTCTAATGATACATCTTGTCTTTGTTGTTTACTTTACTGAGGCATCATGCTTCCACAACTCTAATGATACATCTTGTCTTTGTTGTTTACTTTACTGAGGCATCATGCTTCCACAACTCTAATGATACATCTTGTCTTTGTTGTTTACTCTACTGAGGCATCATGCTACCACAACTCTAATGATACATCTTGTCTTTGTTGTTTACTTTACTGAGGCATCATGCTTCCACAACTCTAATGAGACACCTTGTCTTTGTTGTTTACTTTACTGAGGCATCATGCTTCCACAACTCTAATGATACACCTTGTCTTTGTTGTAAAGTGTGTCAGTGAACAGCCAAACAAACTTCTGCAGCTAGCCATGTATTTGGTATGTAATAAATGAATGTACACCTGTTTCTCGACTTAAGGCCTATGCAAATTGTGACCATCCATACTAATGGCAGCAACAAAAATTCGTTAAATATAATAAAAAAAGAAAAAGACATATAACTACACTGGCAGCGTTGAAAAGTTCCAGGAACTAATATCTAAAATGTACGTAGATGCCTATGTACAATAATGTATAAACATATGTTCACAGTCCACATTTCTGTGTTTTAACCCTTTCGCTGCTGCGCCCTCCGCCAGCCAACGTAACCACTGTGCTAAGCCAGGCGAGAGCTAATCTTTCCCCCTGTGCTGAATACCGTTTTTTCCTTCAAAAGCAGAAGACGCGCTTGCGGCACGGGGTAAAAATCGTACACCTAAAATAAAAAATCGTTGAAGGCGTGTGGTTGAACTTTGCGCTGACAAGTCAGACGCGCTATTACTACGCCGTGAAAACTCATTAACAAAAAGAAAACACTACAAACTTACAAGGCAAACACAAAACACTTTAGTAAGCAAATACATGGTTTTTATTATTATTAATAATATCTTTGTGTGTGAAATATTTCAAAACAAGGTGCGACACACAATGCCAAATCACAGTCCTTTCACATGTATCTGGTTTTCCGTCGTTTTTTGCTTTTTGCGCATACCACACACTTTCTGGTTGGGAATTTTTTCTGCGATGTTACGGACTCTATTATTGAAGGGAAATGCCTTTGTACTAAACGAAGTGGCAGATCTTCACTTTTTTGTCCTCCTACACTTTTTCTCTTTTCCTTGCAATATTTATGTAGAATTTCTCTTACTAATATTAAGTGAAATTCGGCAACAGGTGTGTTTTTCCCCCACAACAACTTTATATAATAAATGTGCACAGTACACCAACCACGCTTCACATAACGTGTAAAGCATCTAAATCCACCTGAACGCACGTGACAGGATGTTTAATTAATTATTACTTTGGTTATCTGTTGCCGAAAATGCTAACAGCTTAAATTTAAAATTTGCATTTAAAATAATTAATTTAAAAAAAAAAAACGGCACGTAGGGGTTGAACGCTGGACCTTTCGATTGTAAGGCAGACGTGATACCAACTACACTAGAAATTCACATGAAACTATGAATTTAAAAAAATACCAGTATTGTACACTTTAATAGACAAACACATTTATGTCAGTTGTATAGTATATAATTAACATTAATATTAATCATCACGTCAGTACGTGACCATATATTTTTTTTTTTTGATTATTTTAGATCCGTTTCAAATCCAGTTGATGTGGATAGCTAGGTCATATGGTCACTGGTCAGTCTTGTTCACAGCCAGAAGTACATGTGTCCGCCGGCGTGCCGCGAAGATAACCCAGCTCTTATAACTCACACGTTTCAAAGTGATCCTTACTACTACTCCTTAAAAGAAACTAATTAATTCTTCTGTATTTAAACAAATGTTCTTGTTATTTGGTATTTAAAAAAAAAAAAATTAGACTAACGCAAAACCAGAAATTACCGATCACCGACAATGCTTCTATGGTAACAAAGAAACAGGATAACGTGAAATGCATCTAAATACGCTTAAACTCACTTGATAAGGGTTTTAATTGTATGTAAACGGGTCAGTTTGATCAGATTAAGTTAATGTGTATTGCTATTTCACCCCTAAGAATTACTGTCATTGGCAATCTGTAAACAAATGTCCAGAACGAGATATCTCGTCCTTAGCAGTGAGGGCACAGAAAATTGCAGCCGAGTTATCTCGTCTTTAGCAGTCTGCCGGGCAGACAAGTTATCTCGTCCATAGCAGCGAAAGGGTTAAGTAAAAAATTGTATAAACTATTTAAATGAAAACAATGTTGAAAAAATTTAAATTTGGGCTGGGATGGAAGTTGGTCGTTAGTTGAGGAGACACTGTATTTCATTGTCTGACTTGTCCAAGAAATACATTTTTATGTGCAACTCAAATCTGTGAAAGTGAAGCACAGATACTGTGATACTGTGGTGTAACATACCTGGACTGCTGGCTCTATGCTGACCCATGGACACACAGGTACTGTGATGTAACATACCTGGACTGCTGGCTCTATGCTGACCCATGGACACACAGATACTGTGGTGTAACATACCTGGACTGCTGGCTCTATGCTAACCCATGGACACACAGATACTGTGATGTAACATACCTGGACTGCTGGCTCTATGCTAACCCATGGACACACAGATACTGTGGTGTAACATACCTGGACTGCTGGCTCTATGCTAACCCATGGACACACAGATACTGTGATGTAACATACCTGGACTGCTGGCTCTATGCTAACCCATGGACACACAGATACTGTGGTGTAACATACCTGGACTGCTGGCTCTATGCTGACCCATGGACACACAGATACTATGATGTAACATACCTGGACTGCTGGCTCTATGCTGACCCATGGACACACAGATACTGTGGTGTAACATACCTGGACTGATGGCTCTATGCTGACCCATGGACACACAGATACTGTGATACTGTGGTGTAACATACCTGGACTGCTGGCTCTATGCTGACCCATGGACACACAGATACTGTGATGTAACATACCTGGACTGCTGGCTCTATACTGACCCATGGACACACAGGTACTGTGATGTAACATACCTGGACTGCTGGCTCTATGCTGACCCATGGACACACAGATACTATGATGTAACATACCTGGACTGCTGGCTCTATGCTGACCCATGGACACACAGGTACTGTGATGTAACATACCTGGACTGCTGGCTCTATGCTGACCCATGGACACACAGATACTGTGATGTAACATACCTGGACTGCTGGCTCTATGCTGACCCATGGGCACACAGATACTGTGATGCTGTGATGTAACATACCTGGACTGCTGGCTCTATGCTGACCCATGGACACACAGGTGCTGTTCCAGGACTGGGCTGGGCCACTGTCCACACATAGATCAGACCATCGCTACATCCACTGGAAGAATATCAACAGGAATTGACAATATCTACTACTGAACACATGTTCTCTAGCACACATATTGTCTCTGGCACAAGGACAGATATTCTCTACTACTGAACACATGTTCTCTAGCACACATATTGTCTCTGGCACAAGGACAGATATTCTCTACTACTGAACACATGTTCTCTAGCACACATATTGTCTCTGGCACAAGGACAGATATTCTCTACTACTGAACACATGTTCTCTAGCACACAAGGAACAGATCAATAGTTCAAATATGTAACAAAATCATCTTGAAAGAAATAAACTTACATAGATCTCTCTCTCTTTCTCTGTCTGTCTGTCTGCCTGCGTGCGTGAGAGAGAGAGAGAGAGAGAGAGAGAGAGAGAGAGAGAGAGAGAGAGAGAGAGTGAGAGAGAGAGAGAGAGAGAGAGAGAGAGAGAGAGAGAGAGAGAGAGAGAGAGAGAGAGAGAGAGAGAGAAGAGAGAGAGAGAGAGAGAGAGAGAGAGAGAGAGAGAGAGAGAGAGAGAGAGAGAGAGATTCTAATACAGATTTACACCACACACGAAAACAAACAAATAATTGTGTGTGTGTAAGAGATTCTAATACAGATTTACACCACACACCAAAACAAATAAATTGTGTGTGCCAGAGATTCTAATACAGATTTACACCACACACCAAAACAAATAAATTGTGTGTGTGCCAGAGATTCTAATACACATTTACACAACACACCAAAACAAACAAATAATTGTGTGTGTGTGAGAGATTCTCATACAGATTTATAGGATTTTTATTTTTTAAACTTGAAAAAAAAAAAAGTATTTGCTCCATGGCAGACCTTAAAAAATAATAGTAGTTCAAGATTCTTATCTAAGTGGGAACCAATGACACACACAGAGAACAGTTCCTGCATCACAAGAGTCTTATCTAAGTGGGAACCAATGACACACACAGAGAAGAGTTCCTGCATCACAAGATTCTTATCCAAGTGGGAACCAATGACACACACAGAGAACAGTTCCTGCATCAAAAGAGAATAATCCACATTCTGTGGGCACAACATGAGAAAGGAAAAACTACAGTTTGCCACAACAGCAAATTTCTTTTTTTTTTTTGGGAGGCAGTGTATAGAATAGGAAGGGCCAACGGGAATATTTCTTTCAGGAAGGACTGGCAGTAAATTAGACAGGGGACTAAAGATAGACATGAAACTGAAGTTGTCAGTTGGACGCAGACAATTCTGAGTCTGATAGATGTATGTAGTTAGTTTGACATCCTCTTCTCTGAAGAGCAGAAGAAAAGAGGTCATATTACCTTGCCAGCATTAGTTTTTTCTTGTTTCCAGTCCCCGGCAAATGACACCATCGAACTTCAGTAATTCCTGCGGAATGTTGCAGGGTGTTCCAGGCGGTGAAGCCATCATTTCCTGAAGTCATCCAGACTTTAACCTCGCTGTCATTCATTGCCCGACTGGCCAGCAGGTTGCCAGTAGTATCCCAGTGCAGGCCGGTAACTGAACTCTGTGGACAGCAAAGGGAGACAAGCTGACATGATCTTTGGGCTACAAATGCCAGCATATGGTCATCACCACCAGTATAACAACATCATCACCAGTATAACCATCACCACCAGTATAACATCACCACCACCAGTATAACCATCACCACCAGTATAACCATCACCAGTATAACCACCACCAGTTTAACCACCACCAGTATAACCACCACCAGTATAACCATCACCAGTATAACCACCACCAGTATAACCACCACCAGTATAACCATCACGACCCCTTTCACCAGGAACCAGACTTTAGAATGAGCTGAAAAGTGTTGCTGCTGAGAATAGAGTGTAAAGAAGAGACATGATCAATTGTCTTTAACACATCCTTCCACTGACCAGCTGACTGAATGAATGAGCCTAGTTTATTTTGCAAAACATGACTACATTTTCTTGTGTGGCAAAAGTTAAAAAAAAAACAAAACAGAAATGCGTTTGAAAGAAGGCAACAACAGACAGATGAGATCTGCTGGCATTACAGCAAAGTCATATTTACCTTGTGTGCCTCAATGTTGACAGGCTGCTCAAAGTCCTCTCTCCTGCAAAGGGAGACCACTCCATCACTGTAGCCAACAGCAAACCTGCCATCTTCCTCATACCATGCGATGGATGTCACAGACACTGAACAGATCAGGAAGAAACAGAGATTCAACCAATTGAACTGCTGATACTCACATGCCCTCCAACACTGATAAGGGAGACCAAAGTCACTGGACTGGATTCCACTCATGATACTGAGAGGACTACACAGGATAGAATGCAATGGGGGACCAGACTATGTGATACTTATATATAACAGCACAAGAGGACAATGAATAAATGAATAATGGAATTCTCATGCCACGATGAAAGCTGTCAAAACTTATCCCTTGTTGCATTCCTCTAACTCTTTTTCCATAAATCCTTTTAGCTATTACAAAATATTCAATTTTTTTCCCTTTTCCATCATCGTCATCATCATCATGTAACAGGTCCTTTGCAGAACGTCGCTCTCATCACAGTCTGCCTGAAAGAAACTCGGTCTCTCGCCAGTTCTTCCGCCTCATATACTTTCATACTCAAGGAGTCACTTATATCCTGTGCCCATCTTCGTGTCGGTCGGCCCCTGCCCCTCCTTCCTGGTACCATGCCTTCTGATATACTTTTTTCCAATCCATTGTGGCGCTTGATATGACCAAAATATTTCAGCTTCCGAGAAAGGATGCTGTTTATTAGCCAATCTTCCTTGATGTTCAGATCTTTTAAGATGTCAATATTTCTCCTCTACTTTGTCCAAGATATTCTGAGAATCTTTCTAAAGCATTTCAGCTCAAAAGCCCCTATTCTCTTTCTTAAGGACTGAGAGATAGTCCACGACTCACATCCGTATGTAGCCACAGGGAAGATGCATGCTCTCAAAATTCTAATTTTTATCTCCTTGCTGGTGCTTAACCATAGACTTTTAAGGCTGTTCAATCTTTGCATTGCTATGGCCATCCTCCTTTTAATTTTTGTTGAACAGTCTCCATTGTTGTTTATTATAGAGCCTAGATATTCAAAGTTTGTGACATTTTCAATTTCTTCATTATTTGTTGTTATTTTTGGGTGACAGCCAGTTTTATCTGTGGACATTATTTTCATTTTCTTTAAATTCAAGAACAGATTTTGATCTTCACTGTGCTTTTGGACAGACAATATTAAATTTTCGATTCCCTTTACGCTGTTAGAAAGGAGGACTGTGTCATCTGCGTAGAGGAGTTCCGGAATAGCATACCTGGCACAAATGTTAAAAAACGTTTTTTTTTAAAAATCCTCTTTCAAAACATTTAGATTACAAAACTGTGGCTGTCCATGGTATTTTTGTATTCTGTAAAATCAAATTTTTGCATTCTTTACCACTGCACACATTTACTGCTGTCCTATAGGATGCTATCATGTATGATTAGCTTTACGACTATTTTATCATTCAATGATTAAAGGAAGGCCTCGGTTATTCATCAAGTTTAACAAAGAATATCAAATTTGAAATTAACCTATATTCTTATAAAAGATTAGTTCCTCATTCTGAATGTGTAAACACAAATATAAAAACTTGCAATAAAAACTGCACTTTTACATTTAAAAAAAAAACCACAGAAGGTTACATTATCTGTACTATTATCTGACCAACAAAAATGACATTTTCTGAAATAAAATTAAAGATTTTTTAAAAACATTTCTTAACTAATTCTAAAAAAAAATATTTAAAAAAATGGGTGTATACACTATTTGCTGTTATCATGTTTGCCTACCGGCTAAAAGATAATAGATTCTAATCATCATCAAGACAGATCTGTAACACTGATCTTCTAGTGACCTAGGCTGAGAGCTAAAAATTGGAACCCAGATTTATGATGGGAAGTAAAGGTGGCTGGCATAATGTGACTGCAGAATCCATTGTGTGCCAACTTTCTCCATGTGGGTTCCAGAGCCCCATTGTAGGGAAAACAAGACCCAGTGCCTCCCCAACAAGCTTGTTGTAGAAGTCGACTAATTGGAGGGCTTTATTCAGAGTCAGTCCGCATTTGCATGAGAGGCTAGGAACCAACAGTCTGCATACAAATAAGACAGATTTGTAAAGCCAATGGGCACACAACACTCAGGTTCTGGAACAAGATCAAAGCCCAGAGGTGAAAAGCAACTAGAAATTTCCGCTGGAGTTTACAACCAGTGAATTTAAAGAAGAAGAAAAAGAAGAAGATGGTCTTAAAAAATACAGGGCCTCAGAGATTGAAACCGAACCACTAAACATAGAAAATAATCTTGATGACATGCTTTCTTTAAGTTCTGCTTACCATTCCATCTTCTGCAGTGTTCCAGGTCAAAGCTCCTGTAGGTGGTCAAGTCAATCATATCAATCAATGACAGGGTTCCATCCAGCCGACCCACCAACAGGCTATCTCCAACCAGGCCTATTCTTCCCTCAAACATTCCCTTGCTCTCTGGCCAGGCCAGAGCCGTCACCCACTGAGGCTGTTCTATTAAATGACCTCTACCACCTGCAGATGAACACAGAACAATTGTAATGTTAACATCAGAATAAATGAACCAACAAAACAAACAAACTTTATTATCAAAAGGTTGAGATTTGGCAATGCAAGCCCACCTAACATTCTGCCCTTCCAGCCTCACTCCTGGCATGCAGTTACTCATTCACACATCATTTCAGTGGTAATGATAAACATTTCAATGACACCTAAGTCTTAATTACAGATGTAGAAATGCTCTAGGTACTCTTGTAACACTAACTAAACATTTAAAAAAATTGTCTCATTGGTACATATCATAAAGATTCGCAAAACTCCCAAGGCATGAAATTTCCCACAAGTTGTGGTATCTTGTAGGGGTGTGATCTTTTGCTGTTTTCAACACCACAAGACTTCTATATTCCGTGAGTTGTCAGCAGTCAGCGCGTTCTATTTTCCACGTTGTCAGCAGCTGGCACTGTCTGTGTTACTTGCATTGTGCGTTCGCTCTTCACTGCTATCACTTGTGGCATCAGTTGGTGACTCAACCTTCGCCATATATTTCCTTCAACTGTGAGCACTGGTGAGCGACAAGCAGAGTAGCGTTGCTTTTCTGTAGGCCCCCCCCCCCACCCCTCCAGACAGCCGTTTTTAGAGGCGGCCTAAAACTGTAACCAATTCTCAAACTAGTGACGGTCACAGAAAAGATCTAGTTGAGTGAAAAAAGGAAACTAGTTGAAACTAGCTCACAGACAGGGAAAAAACATCGCTCAATGTCACCTGCCACGAAAAAGACCTAAACACTTTTGTGTCAGGCCTCAAACAAACAGGAGCCATTTTTCCGTGTATAGTGTGTACAGTCTGAGGAGGTGAATGAACACATCATAAGACCCCTACAATATAGTACTGCCTGTGCGAACAGGCCTGGGCATGAAAGGAGCCAGCAGAAAATCTCGTGCCTCGCGATATGCTGGAATCTCCAAGATATGTACCGTTTAGTTTAATAATAAATCTAATCATCACCATCATCAGGTGCCTTGCCGACTGGCATAGGCGATCATGCCTCTCCATAATCCCCGATCTTCTGCAGCATGTATCAGTTCCTGTGCCGACACACCTCCATGCCATGCAACAAGACTGTCAAGAATCTTCTCTCGTTGTCTTCCTCTATCCCTCCTTCCACAGATCTTTCCAGTGGTCACAACATGGCCGAAAAATAATGACTGTCTCCTTCTGATGTCTGTGTTAAGTTGTCTTCGGGCTCCCGCCTCTTTCAAAACCTCTTGGTTGCTCTTTTTGGCTGTCCAAGGTATTCTAAGCATTCTTCTGTAAAACCATATCTCTGAGACCTCTAAAAATTGTTTGGCCTGCCTACCAATTGTCCAGGATTCACAGCCATATGTTAAAACTAGATGTATGTAGCAAGCAAGAATTCTTTTTCTAACTCTCAATGACAAGGATATATTGCACAAGATGTTTTTCATTTTATAAAATGCAGTTTTTGCCTGTCCTATTCTGTTTCTTATCTCAGTTATGCATCTTCCATCTGATGTTATCCATGTGCCCAGATACTTAAATTATTTTACTTGTGCTAAAATAACACCATTGACTTTTATTACACATTTAGGAATAATTCGTTTTTTTGATACCACCATTACTTCTGTCTTATCATTATTCAAACTGAGGCCCATTCTTCCACTTTCTAACACCACAATGTCTATCATTTCCTGTAGTTCTTTCTGACTTGTTGCTATCAAGACTGTGTCATCAGCATAACGTAAATTGTTTATATTGTGCCCACCAACCACAATTCCGGGCATACCAATTAAAGATCTCATTATATATTTACTGTATATTGAAAACAAATCAGGTGATAGTACACATCCTTGTCGTACGCCCCTCTTTATGCTTTGAAATGTACCTAAACAGTTGTAAATTCTGTTTGCTGTCAAAACATATTCTTTATTATTTGTAGATCTTTTCCATCAATGTTTAATTTTTCTAACAGTTTGATTACTTCTTCATGCTTCACACAGTCAAATGCTTTTGTATAGCCTATGAAGCATAAGTACAAATCAGTCTTTACTTCTATAGCTCTTAATAAATCTAATAGGCTTCAAAAACAAGCAAAAGAATGAGTCGTGACTATTGCCTCAAATTTAAAATGCAAACATCACTGTGGTATATAGAAAGTATAGGACTCCTGGAGGAAGAGACAAGAACCGATCAATTTCAGTGCCGGCACATGATATTAATGATAAGCTGGGTATGAAAAAATAAACCAAAATCTGCTTTATAAAAACCAAAAACAAATCCCTGATAACAAAATGGATCGTGCGATTACAAATCCTTTATCAAACAAAAACAAAGCTAAGCAATCAGAAATGAAGAGAATAAGACACAGACAAAGAGGAAATGCTAAAACAGGAACACAACAGTGCAACAAAACACGGAATTATAAATGTAACAACAAAAGGAAATGATGGTGTAACAGGGATATAATAGTATAGCAATCTCAGGAAACAAAAATGTTACAAGAGAGGGAAATCGTTTAACAAGAGAAAGAAACAACAGTGTAGGGCATGCAGACCCATCTGACATTCGACCCTTCCAAACACTCAACTTTCATAACTTTCATTTTATCAATAAAGCATGTAATGTTCATATAACAAAATACAATAAGAACATCAAGTAAAATATACAAAATTTTAGATGGTAAATGCATGCATTCAAATATATATCATACATATAACTCACGCATACATACGTGCATACATATGTACACACACACACATTCATACCCATACATACTTACACACACAAACTCTCTCATACATATATATACATATATAAACATACACAGTTCAGTCCACTTCATACTTCTAATCAACAATTCCTATTTTTGATCAGGGAAACATGACCCTAGCTTAGACCAAATTTGAAACCAAGGACCAAGATAGGACAACACTGACCACCAATCATCCAGATGTTGACCAGGTTGTCCATGCTGCCGGCCAGCAACTTCCCTGTGCTGCTCCAACAGACATTGTTGATTGGGTTCCCATCCAGCTCCTCCGCCCCAGCCTCACGTCCTCGATGGAAAACACAAGTCTGCTGTAGGAACTGGTGGGTCTTGTTTGGGAGACTCCACACTCGCACTGTGCCATCATAACCACTGAAAGCAAACAGAAATGTCTCAGCATATGTCTGTCTTATGGTTTAACCAATGTCGTAATGTAGATCATTATTTGTTTGTAAATTAACATACAGCACAAATAGTATGAGGATAAGTAAAGGTCAAAGAGAAGGCCTAAAACTATGTTTATCAGAGAAACTAGAAATGGCTGGACCGGATCACATCCATGATATCAAAAGGACTGCGCAGGATACAGTGCAGACCTGATAAGGAGAGCCCAGCAGTGACTCAAGAAATGGTTCTTCTTATCAGAAATGTCTGCGATTTGCTTTTGTCTGCTATTTGCTTTTGTCTGCGATTTGCTTTTATCTGCTATTTGCTTTTGTCTGCTACTTGCTTTTGTCTATTTGCTTTTATCTGCTATTTGCTTTTGTCTGCTACTTGCTTTTGTCTGCTATTTGCCTTTTATCTGCTTTTTGCTTTGCTGCCTGCCAAATAAATTCTGCATCCTTTGACTCACACATTTTCCATGCCAAGGTCACTTTAATCGCTTGTATTCACCTTCAAGCTGGTCGACCCCTGCTTATTTCTCCCAGAAATCATACCTGTCACCATTGTTCTTTACAAACTACTGTGCCAAAATATTAAGACTTCATACAAATATGATCAACAAAGTATATACACATTACGTTAAATACTTGATTAAAATTATGGACCTATCAAAACTATGGACCAATCACAACTTACACTTGACTAAGAAACAGACAGACATACTACCACACAGCCATAATTATGGACAGGTTAAATCAAGCCCCCCACCCCCATCCCCCAATAAATTTGGTTATGTATACTGGAAACAAAGCTTTTTGTAGGTACATACTTGTTAAATGTTTTGGGAAAAAAAATTGGGGGGGGGGGGGGGGGGGGGGGGGGGGGGGGGGTTTGTCTGAAATCAACACATTTTCATGGTTACTTTTTGAAAATGTTATTCTTTATGCACCAAAAAAAAGAAAAAGCTAAATTTGTACTCGATGCATGGCATCGAATTATTTAAAAAAAACTGATAAAGGTTACTGAAAACTGGCACATAAATTAAGCATTATATTTTAAACCTAATTAACTAATAACTTTTTATTTAGAGATAGGGTTTCAAAGTTATGCTCATTTATGCAGAGTAATATTTTTCCACACTGCAAAATGTGGGGTAAGGGTTAACATACATGATTAAAAATCCTAAAATATTCAAGCTGCTGTATTCATTATAGTTCAGCCTTTTTCAGTGTTGTTTTCCTGTGTGTGTGCTAAGTCTGGTGGCACCATGTCAATAACTTTTTTAGATATTGTGGGTAATGCAGGTAAAAAATGTCAAAAAATAATTATTTTGAAAAAATTACTATTTGAAAAAAAAAAAAAAAAGATGACTATGCTGGTTTTCAAATAAGTGTTTACCTAATGAGCTTCTGCTGTATATGAGTCACCCTCAGGGTGTTCCTGAGCTGTCTGAATACTTTATCCTGCTCTTTTTATCTCCCTATCCACCCCCCCTCCCCCCCCCTTTTCTTCAGCTGCTCTTTCACGTGCGTGATCAAATCTACAAAAAGTGTAAATACTGTGCCACAGCTCAGCCCTGCCTAGTCCCCCTTCATTATATACAGTAACAGCATCACAGCTATTTCTAGCCTATATCTTCCAACATGGATTACATAGATCAGACTATCACAATTCTACAATTTCTAACAAATGGATAAAAACAATGATTAAAATAAATTGATAAATAACAGAGTTCCGACAATTTGAATATTCTGCCTTTATAATTAGGTAAATAAACAGCCATTATGCCAACTATGAAAAAAAAAATCGATAACATTTCGCAATAAGAATTGCATTATTATGTGCCTAAATGAATACACTTTTATTAGTGTAAAAAAAAGTACAATTCCAAAATTTTGAAGAAAAAAAATTTCATCAGTTTGGGGGTGTTAATCAGTCCTTAAGAAACGTTATAGGCTTTCTGCGACATATACATTGACTAAGAGACAGGCAGACTACCACACACCCATTATTAATAAAGCATATGAGCCTATTGCAACATATACTTGACTAAGAAACAGACAGAATACCATAAACCAGTTATTAATAAAGCATAGGGGCTTACAAACACACATTTGACTAAGAAACAGATATACTACCATGCACCAGTTATTAAGAAAGCATGGGCCCATGATCATACATCCATTCTTAAGAAAGTATGAGTCTAGCACTACACACCCTTTATTAGAAAAACAGGCCTGCCACCCACACATTAATTCAACATCCCAGCTACTTTAGGTAGAATGATGTATACAGAACAGAGCCCTTAACTGAAAGGCAGATCCACACAGCAGTCTCTGCCTCAGTGACTGAACTGACCCACACACATCTCAACACATTCCAGCTACCTGGTGTAGAATGACATATATAGAACAAAGCCCTTAAATGTAACACAGATCCACACAGCACTCTCTGCCTCAGTGACTGAACACACATCGCACAACACATCACAGCTGACCTGGAAGCCAGGAACCCTTTGCGGGGACTCCACCAGCAGCCATTCAACCTGTTCTGATGACCCTCCAGCTTCAGCACTGCACAAGTGCCCATGTCCCCTCCCAGGTCCACTTGGTTCTCTGATCCCAGCATCACTTGTTGGCCATAAGCTGACAAGGCCTGAAGATAACCACATGTGATCAGCTCTGTTTGTAGTCTAACATGGGCAATCAACATTCACACCCACTGATGTCTGCAGGGAGAGACTAAGTACTTGTGGATTTGTAAAAGTAAAGGTGTATTGGGCATATAGAGCTAGGCCTACATTTTGTAGACTAATCGGCATTTGGTTGGTGATGCAGTCAAAATCATGCTGGCCACCTTTACTTCCCAGGACTTTACCTGGTACCCATTTAAGGCTGGTTCGATCGGGAGCCAAGTTAATTTTTTTTAAAGGTCTGCAGGTAAAAGTCTGAGGAGGCTGCGTGGTCTCGAGGCCTGGTGTCTGCCTTGAGTGCTAGAGGTCCGGCGTTCAAGCCCTGGTAAAGGCTGGGATTAGTTCACATGGATTTCTAGTAATTTTCCCCTGGTCTCTGGGTAGTAAGAACGGACGCCCGTGTGTATTGATGCGCAAGTAAAAAAAATCCTGTGGCAGTTGGAAATCGAAAAGAGTAGCCTAACGGTGCTGCCTAAGCAAAATTTAGAGTTAAAAATCTACCCAAAGCATTTCAGGATCCTCGCCAGTGCAACAGAGTTCGTGCACTGCGCTGAGATTCTTTGGACTCAGGCTTGAGTTAGAGGAAGAATGGAGCACTTATGGGTTACACCCGTGTGCCATGATGTTGATCCGTTAAATAAACATAAACATAAGGTGAGAGTCTGGCTGCTACACAACAGTGACTCCCACTTATGGATTTGAGCTGAGTAAAATGGTTTCAGTTCATCATCATGACCCTTCTTGCAAAGCACCTAGCAACCACTCCTTGAAAACCAGCAGCTTCAACACAAGGGGTGAAGTAAAAGTAAAGGACCTTTTCCACACCAATAGTGCCTCAGGTATATGGTGCTAGACTCAAATTTGTGTAGACCAACTGCTGCTCAATGGGTGACGTGGTCACATCACAACCACTACATGTATTTCTCAGGCCATATCTGGTGCGGATTTGACAGTGAGACTTCTGGGCCAATAGGCAAGCCTCTTGATGTTCTACCAGTTCCTATGCCTTTTCTTGTTTAATTCCAGGGAAGTCTTTAATGTTCAGTGATCACTGCCACTGGTTGTTCCAAGCCTCGTCTTCAAGAACCACTAAACTTTTATGGTATTCAATGACAAGTATTTCAGTTTCTAATGTCTAAAAAAATTGAGGAATATTAAATGGGACAAAATCAAGAATGATGAGGAACAAATGTATAAACATAGTACAAGGGTGGTTTGTAAAGTAATACCTCCCAGGATATAGCTTTGCCGGCGTAATGCTGACCACATTACCCACAGAGTGCTGATGGTCTGTAAAAATATGGGACGCTCTGCCCATATGCCCGATGCACCAAAAGGCGTGAAAAGGGAACTTTACTTTACTTTACTTATAGCTTTGTTGATATACATATTGTACTCAGGAAACATACATTTTCCGAAAGCTTGAGATATATGTAGTTACCACCATGTTCCACACAGGTGTGCAAGCATCAAACAAGTTTCCCTCTTAAAAAATTTAAAAAAATAAAAAATAAAAAAAAAATGAAACTAGGAATGCACATCAGCGGCCACCTCCTGGTCAGAAGCATATCTGTTTCATCTGAGATGTCCCTCAAGCTTCAGAACCAGGAAAAAGTCACAAGGTGCCAGATCACGATTATCTGCTGAATGCCATGATTGTCACGAATGAGTTCATGGATGCAAGCCTGGTGTTGTACAGCCAACAAATGACGTAATCGGTCGACCGCTGCAAGTCTGACCATGCAGGTCCGTCAAGGCTGAATTGCTGCCATTTATAGTCCTTGCCCACTTCCTAACAGTACTAACATCCACACAGTTGTCACCATATACTATTCTCATTCTTAGATGCATGTCGATGGGTCAACAATCTTCAGCCATCAAGAATTCAATAACAGCTTGTTGCTGTAACAGAATGTCCATGTATGTCACCATTTTAGATACTGTTGTGTGCATGTTCCACTTTCCACACAAGTGACCATTCATATCTTGAAAGGCACTTGCTCATCCAATAATCACGTGCCTCCAGACACTATTAACAAAGTTATGTCCCTTGGTGGCATTACTGTTCAAACAGCCATTAGTACAGTTATGAGAATCGGAAAATTATAATATATTAGGCATATCATGAAGAAAGCCAGATAGAAAAATCACTAAAAGTCACTTAAATGGAAACAAAATGGACTGAGGAAATGAGGAGGCCCAAGCAAAGCCTAAGATGAACACTACTGAGAGAGGATTCATGTCACAGAATGGAATAGAGGACTAGACTATCAGCTCTACGTGCCATATACTGCAG